GCCACCCATGCCAATGTCAAGTCATTTGTTTGTTTTTGTTTCAGCTGTTAATTCAGTAGTATTAGTCCTGTTGTATGGAGTAATCAACTTCCCCATATTTGCCTGTCTGATGACTGACCATCTGTTGGTTGGTGCAGTGTTTGGGTTCTTGTATACTCTAATGAAGTAAGTATGGGTCCTGTTGTATGGATCGGTCAACTTTCCATCTTTGCTTGTCTGATGACTGACCATCTGTTGGTTGGTGCAATGTTTGGGTTCTTGTATACTCTAATGAAGTAAGCATAGCGTATATCCGGACTACCTGGCTTCCATAGTTTAACTAAACGTCATGTTTATGCAAGCCCAAATCAACCCCTAGGCTGATCTAAGTCAGGGTGGGGCCAACTCTTAGAATCAAGGGACAGACTTAACAAACTTTACTGGTATCTGATGCYKGCTCRAGAAAACAAATCCGAGACCCAGTGGGGATGAGTACACCACYGCTAAACCACCCTTGATTTTGAAAGCTTCTTAAACATGAATTACCAAAAAAAATTTTTGAGTGATTCCTAAGACTTGTTTACTCAAATGTTTAACTAAATTTCATTTTTATTTTAGGTTCATTGCATTAATGACTCTTTTGTTGTCATGCCCTGGTCATTACACACAGGAAGTACAGGATGGYGTAAGATAATTCAATATAATTTATATTATCATTATTATCATTATCAAAAAAAATTTTTTTTACTATCATTAATATCATTATTATTATCATTATTATCATTATCAAAAAAAATTTTTTTTACTATCATTAATATCATTATTATTATCATTATTATCATTATTATTATTATTATTTTTAAATTTGTGTTGATAGAAAATATACGTTGTTCATATTCTTATGCATGTGCGTATAATGTTGAGTGTACAAGATCTAGAGTAAGGTTGTTATAAATTCGTAAAAATATAATGCTTTCCTTCTGAATATCAATAAAAAAAGCTTTTACCAGTAATTTTTAGACCCTCATAGATTATTCCAGTGAAGTTTCAGCCGTATTAAAGTTTGGAAGATTTTCGTACTAGTCTTTGGGCTTCCTTTGGCGGGGCGGGCTACAGGGCSGGGCTCCTTTGGCATAGAACCGCGGAGGGGATTGAGGACGAAAAAGCGTACAGAGATAGAAAGATTCAGAAAGATTCAGAGGAGGCTAGTACTAGTCCACATTTCAGGGTTTTTTGTTCTCTGGTTATCATTTACCAGTAGAATTGTTTATATGATTATTTTACTTAATCCAGGTTTTGAATAAAGGATACCAAGAGTCAGAGCTGTATGAAAGTATTCCGGGACTCTTGTGTCACATTTACCTGCTTGTGCGCTTTTTCCTTTTGTTATTCAACGAGTTAGCAAGAAAATGTTGGACTTCACATCACCCGGAGAATGAGGTAAGACTTGCGCCAATTTTTACAGCAAACAAGTATAATGCTGCCAAATAGCTCATGTTGTTGCTGGAAGAGTCGCCATATTAAGTTTCATTGATGCTGAGCTTTTCTCTGTCTTTGCGGGCGTATTTCTGGGCATGCCCCTAGCGGTTAGTGGTAAACCTGATGCTTACGGTCTCCATCATTGTATAACTAGTATATAACCATGATTCGGGTTTTCTAGGAATTAAGCGTTGTTGTCGCCAAAGATCACGACATGATCCACGTACGTCACTTGCTGGGCAACGTATCGGGGTCGAGTAATCAAAGGTGAACATTATTATGTTAAGCGCACAACGTAGGTACATATCTTTTTCTATTTTATTTCATTATTTAGTCAAGTATCTTAGCGTTTTATGAGTGTCATTTATTTCTCCACCCTCACCCACCCCACCCCCGCCCCTTCTGATGGACAGTGCTGGCCATGATATTGTATGTACAAGTATATATACTGATTTAATTTTTCTAAACGCTTCTTGCAGGACTGAGACTCGAAATTGGTTCATCCGTCTAAGAGACAAAATCTATAAACCAAGACCAGGTATCAGTAGAAAGCTCAGTTGAATGTGTGACTGATGTAATTACTGATTAATGTAGTAGTAACGTCAGGAGAGGACTGAAAAAAATATTTTGTCTTCAATACGGGTACGCTGATATCTTACAACTCATAAAGTCAAACAATAGAGTCTTACGTCATTCGTAAAGCCTGGGATTTTGACCAGGACGAACGTAGGGTCTAGGGCGTTCGTAAAGTCAAATGCAAATAATTGAATCCGATATCTTAATGATAATATCTTAATCATCTTTATCAACTTGAGATGTTTGACTGAATAATGAGATGAGATGGAAAAAGAAAGAGAAAAATGTTGACGTATTGCGCTTAAAGGTGCAACTTGCAACGCCGATTTTTTGCGCAACACTGTTGCACGAAAAATCGTTGTCGTGTAACATAGCGCTGAGGACGATTTTTCGCGCGATTTTTCACTCTGCAACGCGTTACAAGTTTTTGATCTGTTTCAAAAACGTGCAACACAAGATGACGAATTTTCAGCAAATCGATGTGTGTAACATGTCCATCGMCGATTTGACGCGCAACAAAATGGCGCCGACTGTAGAAGAAGTAAGTTTAAAGAGTACAGCAACCGAAGCGATTGTCTAAACCTACTGAAACAGATAAGACAAAACTTTTGTAGTTGATAAAAAATGATAAAAGCAAGAAAAGAAGAAAAAAGATAGCTGTGAGTGAGTTGGCAGCGCGTGGACTGAATWCTAAAGTAAATGTTGCGCGAAAAGTTGYTCCCGTGTAACATGTCGAAAAAAATCGACACACTAAAGGCGCAATAGCGTTGCACGAAAAATCGGTGTTGCAAGTTGTTCCGTGTAACACCACCTTAACATAATGCTCACCTTTGATTGCTGGACCCTGATACGTTGCCTAGGAACTGACCTACGTGGATTATGTCTTGATCTTAATAATGTTATTTTGATTTTTCCTTTGCCTCGCAGATTTCAAGTTTTCGACAGGAATGGTTTCCACATTCACTGTTATTGTAATATTCATTTACTATGTAAGTATGCGTTTATAGATGGACGTCAAGCTGTATGAGTCACGCTCGTTTGTGCAAGCAAGATATCTATGTTCCTATTTAAGGGGGGAGGCAAGATATCTATGTTCCTATTTAAGGGGGGAGGGAGGGAGGGGTAGTTTTTTTCACGTTTAAGGAATCAAAGGACAACGCCTTTATTATGTTATTACATGAAAAATAACTGAGTTTATCGCTAATTACCACCGGGGAAACTGTTGCAGGGGAAGCTGTTACTATGATCGTAGCATCAACAACTTTACCTACTTTGGAATTTAGCGTGTTAATTAGTTTTTCCGGGGGGAGAAAAATCGAATAACCNCCCCCCCAAAACGCATTATGGGGAAGTGAAAGTCGAGAATATGGTTACGCTGATACCTTACAACTGATAAAGTCAAACAATAAAGTCTTATATGTCGTTCTTATACGTAGGTTCTAGGGCGTTTGCAAAGCCAAATGCAAATAATTGATCCGATATCTTAATAATAATGCATACAATATCTTAATCATCTTTATCAACTTGAGATGTTTGACTGAATAATGCCGATGAGATGGAAAAAGAAAGAGAGAAATGTTGATGTATTGCGCTTAAAGGTGGTGTTATATTACACCAACTTGTAACGCCGATTTTTTGCCCAACACTGTTGCACGAAAAATCATTGCCGTGTAACATAGCGCTGAGGATGATTTTTCGCGCGAATTTTCACTCTGCAACACGWTGCAATTTTTTGATCTGGCTTCAAAAACTTGCAACGCAAGATGACGAATTTTCAGCAAATCGATGTGTGTAACATGTCCATCTCGCCGATTTGACGCGCAACAAAATGGCGCCGACTGTAGAAGAAGTAAGTTTAAAGAGTACATCAACTGCAACAATTGTCTAAACCTACTGAAACAGATAAGACAAAACTTTTGTAGATGATAAAAAATGATAAAAGCAAGAAAAGAAGAAAAACGATAGCTGTGAGTGAGTTGGCAGCGCGTGGACTGAATACTAAAGTAAATGTTGCGCGAAAAGTTGTTCCCGTGTAACATGTCGAAAAAAATCGACACACTAAAGGCGCAATAGCGTTGCACGAAAAATCGGTGTTGCAAGTTGTTCCGTGTAACACCACCTTAACATAATGCTCACCTTTGATTGCTGGACCCTGATACGTTGCCTAGCAACTGACCTACGTGGATTATGTCTTGATCTTGGGCGGTCTTAATAATGTTATTTTGATTTTTCCTTTGCCTCGCAGATTTCAAGTTTTCGACAGGAATGGTTTCCACATTCACTGTTATTGTAATATTCATTTACTATGTAAGTATGCGTTTATAGATGGACGTCAAGCTGTATGAGTCACGCTCGTTTGTGCAAGTAAGATATCTATGTTCCTATTTAAGGGGGRAGGGAGGGAGGGGTAGTTTTTTTCACGTTGAAGGAATCAAAGGACAACGCCTTTATTATGTTATTACATGAAAAATAACTGAGTTTATCGCTAATTACCACCGGGGAAACTGTTGCAGGGGAAGCTGTTACTATGATCGTAGCATCAACAACTTTACCTACTTTGGAATTTAGCGTGTTAATTAGTTTTTCCGGGGGGAGAAAAATCGAATAACCMGGAGAAAAACCCYCAAATCAAGTGATGCTSAGTCCAGAAATTTAACCCAAGASCCTRGAAGCGAAAGTACAACCTATACACCCCTTTGGTTCYAGAACAGAGGCAATTTCGCTCTGATGTCCTTCACTACTAAGTCTGGGCCTTAATCGTTGCKTTCGTTATCTCTCAGGTGGAGTAAGTCGTGTTCTTTATAATTTCCTTTAGTTGACTGTGTATTTGATATTACTCGGAGGAGAGTTAGAAGAATCAGTAAAGAATGCTCGAAAAGAGATGAAGGATCCAAAAGCTGACCACACGAGTTTAGATTATTATTTGAACAAATATTTTTTATTGATTGCCGACATCTCGATTGGTAAGAAAGTAACTTATTTCCTATAGTTTAATTGTATGGTGTTTTTAATCTTTATTGTGAGAAATTTGCGCTTAGTCATGTAGCTGTATTTATTTTAAAGTAAGAGAAAATCAACTTGCGCACGCGCGCTCTTTCCGTTTATCGTTTTGATCACTAAAAACGAAACGGAAAGAGCGCCGCGCGCAAGTTAATGACGCACGGGCGAAAGGCTCCTTTGCACGGGCGTAGGGTAAGGCGACATTTAACTGCATCCGGTTACTAGAAATTAGCATATACCAACTTGTTTACTTCCTAAGAACGCTCGCGCTCATTGGTTAATTGGAGGTGAATATTGTACGATATTCACCGCTGAATCTCGGAATATTGAGTCTGCAACAAAATGGCATCTGCCGGCAAATGTTTTGCTACAATTTCCGATGAGGAAATTGAAAAAATGAAAGTAAATGCCATTCCTATCAATACTAAAAAGGCAACGAAGTATAGCCTTAAAGTTTTGCTAAACGTTTTGCTTGAATTTGTCACGCAAACTAAAAGTTTCTGTTTGTTTGNAGAACAGAGGCAATTTCGCTCTGATGTCCTTCACTACTAAGTCTGGGCCTTAATCGTTGCTTTCGTTATCTCTCAGGTGGAGTAAGTCGTGTTCTTTATAATTTCCTTTAGTTGACTGTGTATTTGATATTACTCGGCGGAGAGTTAGAAGAATCAGTAAAGAATGCTCGAAAAGAGATGAAGGATCCAAAAGCTGACCACACGAGTTTAGATTATTATTTGAACAAATATTTTTTGCTGATTGCCGACATCTCGATTGGTAAGAAAGTAACTTATTTCCTATAGTTTAATTGTAWGGTGTTTTTAATCCTTATTGTGAGAAATTTGCGCTTAATGGTRTAGCTGCATTTATTTCAAAGTAAGAGAAAATTAACTTGCGCGCGCGCTCTTTCCGTTTATCATTTTGATMACCAAAAACGAAACGGAAAGAGCGCCTCGCGTAATTTGATGACGCAAAGGATTAGGGTAAGGCGAAATTTAAACTGCAYCCGGTTACTAAAAATAGCCCAAACGGGAATTTATTACATGGCGCGCGTTATTAAGAAGTTTCCCTCTCTTATTTATGCTCTCTTGATTAAAGTATATAAAGGGAATAAAGAAGGAAGGAAGGAAGGAAAGAAAGGAAGAAACAAAGAAAGACAGAAAGGATAGATATTGTTGCCACTAAATCAAGTTCTATTCAACAATTTCTCCACAGCATCTACCTACTTTTCTGTCGTCTTCACGTCCATTTTCTCGGTCTTGATGATTCTTCATTTAATGAAATGCCACAGGTAAGTACCTATCGTAGAGAAGCTACTTAGGAACACCGTATACATAGGACCAATCGTTTGTATCTTTAATTYTTATAGGAGCCATGTGCTGCTGTCYTACAGAATAAAAGACTTCCATGGCAACGGYCCATCCAGACTTGTGGTAAGATGATATGCTGATGAGCTACACGAGYACAAACYACTTAAAGTGCCATTGCTAATTTCCTGCTTCTCTTTTTAGCCTTTCTCCTGCTACTCCTCCTTCGTCTTCCTCTTCCTCCTGCTTCTCCTC